TTCTTTCTTTCTTTCTTTCTTGAGACAAGGTCTCTCACAGAACCTGGAACTCACTGTGTAGACTAGAGTGGCTGGCTGGCTTCTGGAACCCACCTGTTTCCACTCCTCCCCAGTACTGGAATTATAGACACACACTGCCATGCTCAGCTTTTCTGTGGGTACTGGAGAGCTGACCCGAGTCCTCACATATGGGAAGCAAGCACTTTACCCACCAAGTTATCTCACTAGCACTTATGTTGGATTTTAGCTGACTCCTGCTCTTACCCTGAACAGACACCCTGGCTGCTCGGCTCTCCCGTTGCCCTGCATTGTTGGTGGCCATACACATATAGGTCCCCGTGTCGTTCTTCTCTGCTCTTGCCACCATCAGGGAATCTCCAGACACCTGTCAGTTCAAATACTCTGTGAAGTCTTCAATGTGAGAAGCTTAGAGGTTGGAGGGCAGCTTGAGGTCTCTTTGCCCTCCCTTCCTCAGATCTGCCAGGGGACATGTCACTGGAGAACAGGTTAGTTGCTTGGTGTGCCCAGGACATGATGGAGTATGGGGAAAAAGTTTCCGGGAAGGGGGCTCCACTTACGGTGTGCCTCCCTGGCTGAAGGACCAGGGCCTTCCCATCTTTCCACCACGAGACTGAGGGCTTCGGGTAGCCCCAGGGTGGCCCACACTCAAGAACCAGCCGCTCGCCCACCATGGCCACTGTGTCCCGAGGCTGGATCTGGAAATCCTCCTGGAGGACTGTTAGGAGGACATCAGGTCACCAGGAAGCATGTCTACCCTCCCATGAGTCCCTCTTTGGCATCTCCTAGCAGGCTAACCCCATTCTGCTATACCTATTTCCTTGGCCTTCTATGTCCAAGTTAACTTAGTTCTCCCTCCAAAGACCCCTAGCCCAGGCCTCCCTTACAGATAGCCCCTCATATTTCCCTGGACACAAGCATCTCAACCTAGCTTTTTTTACCCTGGGCCCTCCCAAGCCTCACCAGCCACAGACAGCCTAGCACCCCGGCTCACTGCTGTGCCCAGCCGGTTGCTGGCCTCACAGGTGTAGACACCCAGGACTGCTGAGAGAATATTCTGATCATCTTGGGGTCGTCCCTGGACATGGGGCCGACGTATCAGGAGGGTCCCATCAGGCAGAAGGTTATGTAGGTCTGGGGTAGCCATGCTGAGGGGCTGCCCATTCAGCAGCCAGCGGATAGTGGGAGGCGGTTGGCCAGATGCTCTGCAGCTCATCTTGGCTGGGCCAGAGCCCTGAAGTAGCTGGTCCTGAGGGTGAACCAGGATCTGGGGTGGAGAATCCAGAGCCTTGCCTCCTAGGAAAGAAAGAGAGACTCCCTGCACTACACCCCTTCTGTGTGTTGTGTAGGAGTCTGCTTATATTACCAAACATCTATTTCCAAAAAGCTATCTGGGAAGGGAGAGGGTCAGCGTTCACAGGCCAGGGTCTGCCTGTGACAGCCTTTTCTGTTTCTGTCACACACACCCACACCCCACCACCACCACCATTGTCTCTGGTACCGCCACTGCTAATGAAAAGTTAAGACACCGGAGATCCTGCTGACCTTGGATCCAGGCGGTGGATCGGATCGGGACATTAAACCAAGGAGCCTGGGCTAGAAGAGGGAGGGCCCCCACTCACCCATGATGAGAAGAAGCAGTAGAGGCAGAGGCCACCTAGTCTCCAGGAGGCCCACTCCTCCATAGCCCATGGCTTCTCTCAGCTACTCTCCTTGTCCCACACACTTTGTCCCCACTGCTCTGAGCGCACAGCAGTAAGGGAAGAAGGGGAGGGGTGCGGTGGTGGTAGTTGTTTGTGACTGAGACTCTGTCCCAGTGGGGAAGCAGCTTTGAGGAAACGGATGCTTCCTGCCTGGCCCTCGGTGCCTTAGAGAACTGGGAGGGGACCAGAGGTGAGAAACTCTCTGACCTCTACACTTAAGCTACAACCCTAGACACTAACTCCTGCCGTACAGTTTATTTCATGTCTAAGTTAGGGCTTCTTAAATAAAATCCTCACACTGACCATAATTGTACACACACCCTCAGTCCTCCAACCCCACAGCTCTGTTTGAAGCTTATGCTTACATTTTGGTCTCTCTCCTTTTCCATCAGACAGCCATAATAAAGGGAGATAAGGACTCGAGGTGGAGCCCCAGACACAGGAGAGAGGAGCTGAAGATAAGTTCAAAGGGGCCACAGGCCAAGAAATCAAAGAGGAAGGGGAGCAGTGTGTATCCTTGGTCCATTCCCTAGGAACAGATAAATTGGGCCTCAGGAGAGTAGAACATACGAAAGGATGACTCAGAACCTTGGAAACCAGCTGTGAAAACCCCACGGACTGTGTCCACATAGTTTTCCGAACAACTTTAAAATTAGGTCTGTGTGGTCTTGGGTAGATCCTTCATCCTCAAAGTTAGTTTCCTTCTCTGTAGAATGGGAATATTAATAATAGATCCCACCTTGAGATCTGAGTAAAAATGGAATGTGATTATACATAAAACTACTTCACACCGACATTGCTTGACACATGAGTGACAGTCCTTTTGGTTCATTTTTATGCACATCCCATCACTGAAGCTATTTGAAGCATCATCAGTGGGGATGAGTTTCAGGCCTCGGGAAGATGGTTGGAATGAAGCCTTCTCAGCGTCTTGCCTGGTCTGACCCCCATCTTCTATGTCTACATAAGCAAACAAGCTTTGTGGCACCCAGCTGACTACATCAGCCCCTCCCTAAAATCCAGAGAGGCTGCTCTCTTTTCAGCCCAACTCCTGTTTACCAGTCTCTTCCTTCCAAATCTGGAATCTCAGCCATTTCCTAGAGCTGTTCACGGAAGGCCAAGGCCAGGCTCTGGGCCTCAGCGGAAGAGTGTCCAGGCTTTGTTCTCAATTGTTCTGGCCAGCTTCTCTGGAGGCCCCTAACACAGTTGACCCTTCTCCCTTCCTCCCCCTCCCTATTGATTTCCAGGGTCAGTCTCAGCCCTAACAACTAACAAAGTAGAAGGCTGCCTTCTCTTTTCACCTCTCTCTCCTCAGACAGACCACTATTGATTAAGACAGAATCCGTGAAAGAGAACACCACTGTCTCAACAAACTGACCAATTCCATGGGCTATGGAATAGATGGAATGGGGGTGACAAAGTGCCTGAGCAGGAAGGATAGGGGTTGGGGTCAGAATAGAGGAGGAGATTTCAGGAATGCACAGCCTGTACAGTGGCTCATGGCTGTAGTCCTGGCATACAGAGGATCATGAATTTGAGTCCAGTCCAGCCTGGACCCTGTCTCAAAAAACAAAACAACAAAAACAAAAAGACAAAGTAAATAAAAAAACGGAAGCACTAATGGGGCTGACCAAGTCTGTGACTTCTCTCTGGAGGGTTTATAGGAGCAAGGTACGTGTGAGGTCAGACTGATGAAGGGACATTTATATGGATGAGGTCAGCCAAAGACGAGACAGGAAAGGGTGTGACAGGCAGATTCAATGAACCCATGGCTAACCTGGGATTCCCCAGTTACACAGGGTCCAAGAGTGGCTGAGCTCCACAAGAATGCTGTCAGCAATAGTCCTTTTCCAGTCTCTTTTGCTGATGCTTGAACTAACCAAGTTCTCTGCTAATGTTCCAACATCAACTCAATTTTATTTAGTTTCTATTATCCAGGAAGATGATATTTATTTTTCCCAAAAGAAAAAAAAATGGTCAAAGGAGCTCAGATTTATGCCCAGGCCTGTGCTTAGCTGAGCAGGATGGAAGCAGAGACAGGGAACATGGTGGTTGGGGGGGAGGGGGTGTGGAACCATGTAGCTGAAGTTGTAGCCAGCCCCTAAGAAGGCGTGGCTACAGCTTCCCCTACAATTGATATAGTAAGAAATTATCAATACGGAGTCAGGTAGAAATATAAGGGTATTTAATAGGGAAAAGCCTTACTTACAGAGCGAACCAGCCAGCCGGTGGTAGTCTGTACAGCAAGAAGCAAAGAGAAACCGAAACCGAAAACGCAGTCCCCCTACTCACTCTGACCACGCCCTCACAAGCCCTCAGGTACTCTTGTAGCCAGCCCCTAAGAAGGCGTGGCTACAGCTTCCCCTACAGAACCAGAGTCTATGGCAGCTGGGGAGTGGCCTCAGAACATGTCTACCTAGAGACATGTCCTGCCCCATGCTTAAAGTTGCTTTTGAAACAGTCTCTGCTGAGCAGGATGGACAGCAGAGACAGGGAACATGGTGGTTGGGGGGGAGGGGGTGTGGAACCAGAGTCTATGGCAGCTGGGGAGTGGCCTCTAACTAGAGACATGTCCTGCCCCATGCTTAAAGTTGCTTTTGAAACAGTCTCTTATCTCTTCAATATTCTGAAGAGCCACCTGTTGAAAACTGAAGGGGATCCAAGGGAACACTGACTTTGGGCCATTCCTGCAGCACATTAAAATTCCAAACACATCCAGGGGAACTCAGGGATACACGTTCATTTACAGCAACCTGGCCCGTTAGACTCCGATTGTCTCATTTCCACAAGCTAAGGAAGAGCCTACCACATGAGTCATGGGATGATGTGGATGCATGGGAGCTACCTCCTGTTTCTATTTTTAGGGAAGTTTGCTACTTTAGGGGTCTGGTGACATGCAAGCCCAGTGACCAGCTTAAATTTTTCCTTCTTTCACCCCTAGTGCTAGTGTTTTGTGAGTATCTTACTCTTGGCTGTTTGAAAGATAGGTAAGAGAGGAAAAGGACGGGGGTACCCTTCTGAGTGGCCCTTCAGAGCAAATTTCTTTTTACGTCTGGCTCTTTGCTTCTTTGTAGTGTTTTATTCATGTGCAGCCAAGGACTCCTATCCAAGCTGTCAGGTCAAAGGACAAACCTAGGTGGTATTTGAAGGCAGATAGGTTAAGTATTCTATTGAATGGGTGACCTAAAATAAGTTATAGAACCTCTCTGACGCCATTTCCTCATTTATAAAACACCCTGAGGTCTATGTTGTACCCAGGGCATTTAAGTATGTTTTTAAAAACCAGATATGTATTAATTGACCCTTAGATTTTCTGGGTACAGGTACAGCACAACCCTCTCCCTGAGCTGCACAGCCAACCCTAGATACACTGGGGTCTGAAGTCTTTACCTGTTTTGTCTTCTTTCCTCTTTCAGAAGAAAGTATTTATTTCTATTTTATGTGTATGGCTATTTTACCTGCCTGTATGCCTGGCCTTCATCTACTTGCAGTGCCCTCAGAAGGTACTGGATTCCCTGGGACTGGAGTTACAGATAGTTGTGAGCCAACATATGGGTGCTAGGAATTGAACTGGTCCTCTGCAAGAGCAGCCAGTGCTTTTAACTACCGAGCCATCTCTCCAGCCCCTCTTTTCTTTCCTTTTGCTCAAGTCAGGTTGCTCTCACTCTCAGTGAGCTTTTATCTTTGTCCCAAGCTGCCAATGGCTGTAGGGAAATTGAGTCACAATGATGACTTCCTCTTTGCTGGTTAGGAATAGTGTCCTGATGTCATTTTGCTGGCTCAACTTATCTCTTAGTCCTTTGTCCTATTCCTGAGGCCGAAATCACATCTGTATATACATGCAAACTCTTAAAATTTTCTTACTTGAATGTAATGTGTGTGTGTGTGTGTGTGTGTGTGTGTGTGTGTGTGTGTGTGTGTGTGTGTGTGTGTGTGTAACAGTGAGTGCAGGTGGAGATGAGAGAACACCTTGTAGGAGTTGAGTCTCTCTTTCTACCATGCAGGTGCTAGGTTGTCAGACTTGGTGCAAGTGCTTTTACCCACTCTCAAAGTCATCTTACAGGCTGTAACACATCTATTTTCTCAATTCCACATCATTCCATTTTCTTCAAGTAATTATGGGTCACACCTACATCAAACATTGCCTGCCTGAAGGTTTCAAAGGCTGATGTCTTCTATAGATATAAATTTTATGTACATTCTGTTATGTGGTGTCTCAAGAAGAGGGTTTGGATCATATGAGGGACATTTCTGAGGAGGGCCAAGTAAACAAGGATCCTGAATTAGGTGCAATTAGGAAGACAAAACATTCTATAATGTTTTCTTCCCAAAAGAGTACCTGGTTATTTCATCACAATGTAGTACCTAGTCAAACAGTTCCTTTTTGCCTTCTGTTATGAACAGCACTAATGCCTCAGTTAGAGTTTCTGTTGCTATGATAAACACCATGACCAACAGCAACTTGGAGGGGAAAGAGCTTATCAAGGATCCTGAATTAGGTGCAATTAGGAAGACAAAACATTCTTTAATGTTTTCTTCCCAGAAGAGTACCTGGTTATTTCATCACAATGTAGTACCTAGTCAAACAGTTCCTTTTTGCCTTCTGTTATGAACAGCACTAATGCCTCAGTTAGAGTTTCTGTTGCTATGATAAACACCATGACCAACAGCAACTTGGAGGGGAAAGAGCTTATTTGACTTATACTTCCACAGCACTGTTCATCATTTAAGGAAGTCAGGACAGAAACTCAAACAGGGTAGGAACATGGAGGCAGGAGCCTTGGAGAGTCACTACTTACTAGCTTGCTCTTCATGGCTTGCTCATTCTGCTTTCTTTCTTTTTCTTTTTTTTAAAAGATTTACTTAATTATTATGTATACAGTGTTCTGTCTACATGTATCCCTGCAGGCCAGAAGAGTGCTCCAGATCTCATTACAGATGGTTGTGAGCCACCATGTGGTTGCTGGAATTGAACTCAGGACCTCTGGAAGACTACTTAGTGTTCTTAACCAGTGTGCCATCTTTCCAGCCCTCATTCTGCTTTCTTATAGAGCCTAGCCCAGGGGTGGTAGCACCTATGAAGGACTGGGCCCTCCCTCATTAATTACTAATTAAGAAAATGCCCCAAAAGCTTGCCTACAGCAGATCTCTCTGTCTCTGTCTCTGTCTCCCTCTGTCTCCCTCTGTCTCTCTCTGTTTCTGTCTCTCTCTGTCTCTCTCTCTCTCTCTCTCTCTCTCTCTCTCTCTCTCTCTCTCTCTCTCTCTCTCTCCAG